GCTTTTAATGGGTGCATATAATTAAACCTCCATCTATGTCAAATGAAACTTTCGAACAAAACTGCATGACAACTCTAGATAAATGTAGTTCTAAGTATGATGAATATATGTCTTACTAGGTGATTTAAATTTTGATTTACTTGATCCAACCAAATGTGCTCCTTTAAACGATATTATTGATATTTTTAACTTATCGAGTCTAATTAAGAAGGCTACCTGTTTTACTAAAAATGGTATACCATCACTGCTGGATGTGATTTTAACTAATAGCCATTCTTCTTTTGGGTAAATATGTAATTTTAATTGTGGACTGAGTGATGTACACAATCTGATTGCATTTCAGCTAAAAGATGAAACTAAAAGTAAAAAACCAAACTGGATTAATTATAGATCTTTTAAAAATTTTGACATTGAAAAATTTAATGAGGATTTACAGACTAATTTATCATACTTAAACCAGAACACTGTAAATGTAAACGAGGCATACACAAATTTTAGCAAAACTTTTATGGAAGTCACAGACAATCACGCCCCTTTAAAACGTAAACGTTCAATGGACCAGACAGTACCATATATGAATACAACCTTAAAACAAGCTATTTATAAGAAACGCATGTTACAAAAACGCATGTTACAAAATACATATAATAAATACAAAACATCAAAGAACTGGGAAAAATACCGCAAACAAAGAAATCTTGTCACAAGCCTTAAAATAAAATCAATAAATAAATATTTTTTAGAAAGATGTGTAGGTGGATGTAAAAATAAATCATTTTGGCCTGCTGTTAAACCATTTTTTAATAAATAAAGGTACTATTGTAAAAAAGGATACGATTTTATGTGAAAAAATGATATTCTAGTAAGTGATCAGTCCCAGGTGTGTGATATTTTTAATGAATTTTATGTACATGTTGCTAAGGACATTGGTGCGGACTCAATACCAATCAACAACAATCAGCCTAGCCTTAATTCTATAAGAAATAAACTTAAATCTGATAAACAACTCAATTTTCAACCTGTAAATAACTCCTTCATTAGTAAACAGATTGATAAATTATCATCTAAAAAAGCAACCGGTCAAGATGGCATATCTGCTAAACTTTTAAAATTTTCTAAACCTTCAGTCGTGGAACATATTACTAATATGGTTAATCTGAGTTTCCAGCCATCCATCTTTCCCGATAGTCTTAAAATAGCTCAGGTAGTTCCGGTCCATAAGAAAAATTGTACTCTAGATAAAGGTAATTACAGACCTATTAGTATCCTTCCAATTTTATCTAATATCTTCGAAAGGTCTATTAATACCCAACTAACTGACTTTTTCAATGACCATTTTAATACTTACTTATCTGCTTTTAGACCAGGTTACGGCTGTCAAAGCACTCTACTTAAAATTACTGAAGACTGGAAAAGATCACTGGATGAAAATAAATACATAGCAGCTATTTTAATGGATTTGTCAAAAGCCTTTGACTGCCTACCCCATGAGCTCCTTCTCATGAAACTTAGATGTTATGGGGTCTCCGACCATGTCCTAGATTTATTAACTAATTATTTAACAAATAGGAAACAATGCGTCAAACTTGGATCCAATTTAAGCTCTTTCAAAGATATTTATAAAGGGGTTCCTCAAGGTTCTATTCTAGGCCCTGTATTATTTAACATATTTTTAAATGACATTTTTGATTTTGTACACAAATGTGATCTTTATAATTATGCAGATGACAACACTTTATCATGCAGTGACACAAACATTGACAATGTTGTTGAATCTTTAGAGTCAGATAGTCAGTCATTAATACAATGGTTTTCGGACAATCATATGAAAGCAAACCCCTAGCTATTGCTATTGGTAAAAAAACTAGGGATCAAAATATAAGTTTCAATTTAAATGATAGTACAATCCAATGTGATGAATCTGTTAAACTTCTAGGGGTAACTTTTGATTTTAAACTCAAATTTGATAATCATATTTTTGACATTTGTAAAAAAGTCTCAAAACAACTAAACGTGCTAAAGAGAATAGGTAAAAAATTATGTAAATTGGGGAAATTGAACATATATTACTCTTTTATACTATCAAACTTTAATTACTGCCCTGTCACCTGGCACTTCTGTGGAGAAAAGTACACAAAAAAACTAGAGAAAATTCAAGACAGAGCATTAAGATTCATTTATGATGACTATCAATCAGACTATGACTCACTTTTAATAAAATCTAAACTGCCAAATTTAAAATTAAGACGAATCAGAACTATAGCCCTCGAAATTCATAAAATTATTCATAAACAAGGACCAACATACTTACATGATCGTGTTAATATAAAAACTCATTCTTTTAATTTTAGGAATAAAAATGTAGCCATTATCCCTCAGGTAAGAACCACCAGTTATGGCAGCAACTCTTTTCGTTCTTATGCACCTAAACTATGGAATTCACTTCCTCAACACTTCAGAATGGAAGTGAATTATGACCAATTTAAAAGTTTAATTGGTGCATGGAATGGAGAGAGTTGCTCATGTACTTTCTGTCAATAAACCTGCATTATAGTTTAGCTCAATCTTCAGTTTTGTTTCTTGCCTGCATTCTTTTGTTTTGCTGCTTACCTACATGTATCTGTTTATTTCACATTTGGCTTAAATTTTGTTAATATTCTCAACATAAATGTTTATGTACATGTATTTTTTTTTTTAGTGTGCTTGTATTTTGTTTGCTTATTGTCAGCTTATTGCGAAGTTTGCTTATTGAGGAGGCTGCTGATCACTTCTTGCAAATTTTGAATTAGGGATTTTTTATTTATAAAACCTAATTAGTGGTCACATTTTTGTGATCCTTTTCATTTTCAATATCTTATTTCCTTTCTTTTATAACAGTACAGGCTAGGCCTTGGTCAAGATCAGCAGAATCCACCCACTTTTAATGTAATCTTATTTTATGTCTGTGCTAATATGTTCCGCATTTTTATCTAGATATATATTATTTTATTCACTTATGATACAGTATAGATCTTTTAAGCATATCCTTAGCATATCATACTATTTATTAATTTTTATTATTTTACTTTAAATTATTACAGTTAGTGTATACATCCCACATTATAGTAATTTAACTTGTCTTTTACCATTTGTCTTTCAAAGTTTATCTTAATGTGCTTCTTTTATGAGTTTTATGTTTATATGCATGTATGTCGGTCAAAAGCTATACATACCTTATGTTTTGAAAAATGTTATATATGTATACCGACAATAAATAAATTTTGATTTGATTTGATTTGAGTTATTGAGATATATAACGGTCATTTTTAAAACGATATAATAGTCTGATGACTCGATCAATAGCAGTCCTTTGCTTTTTAGTAGTCCTTACATAGTAATGTGAGTATTTCATCAGTTAATGTATTAAATGCATTTAGATTTGGAATTTTACTTATTTCTAACTTAGGTATAGAAATTAATTTGGCACCCTTTTAATTGTATTTTGACGAGTTAACAAGTTTCAAGTTTCAAGTTTTTATTTCAACTAGGCCCATATGGGCATGCAGTTTTATAAACAGTAAAATTTCACAAACAAATGAGCATTAACAAAATAATACAGATGTGTAAATGAAGCTTAAGACAAAATAATTTGCATGATAAATACAAAAATAAGACTAGAGATACTTAAATTATGAATGACTTTACAAATGAGTGACTAGAATAAGACATAATGCAACCGCACAATGAAAGTTCCTGGCCAAAACGCAAATGAAGTGACGCAGCGACATGGTGTAACCACAACATGGGGCCCATGAAGCCCCACACTGCAACCACACCACGCCGGTACAATTAGTTCCACAAAAATTAAATAGGAAGTGTCACAATGCGATTACAAATGTCATGAGACCTTAAAGATGAAAAAATAACAAAAAATTAAATAAAATACATAAAAATAGATAAAAGTAAATAATGAAAATAAAGACAATACTTGGTAATAGATACTGACTAGAAGGTGGTAAACATTATTTCACAATAGACATTATTATTTGTGTAAAAACAGACAGTTTGATTAATACAGTTCTATCAGTATTTTGAAATAATTGCTGTAAATTAAACATGTAACCTCTTCGTAAATTAGTGGGCAAGTACTTTCTACGATAAATGTTAAAATAAGGACATTGAAAAATATAATGAAACTCATCACCTAATAAAGAATTATTTGGACAGAGATGTCAATATCTTAAATCACGATCCAAACCTATATAACGACCCTTTTCAATAGGGAGTTTATGGTTACTACATCTAAACCTACACAGCGATAAGGCTAGATTTCTAGGTAAAAGTTTAAAATAGGGTTCTAACACAAATGAGGATTTAAAAATTCTGTAAGTGATACATTTGCTAGAGTTAAACACTTGTTCATGCCACATTTGAACATATTGGTCTTTGATTCTAGATTTGACAATATTTTTAAAATAAGAAGGTGATAACACAGATTGGTTTATCCAGTATTCAGCAAAACCAAGCTCTTGCAATGATTTTTTAACATACACTATCCATGGGGAGTGATACACGTTTTGACGGTCCAATTCAAACATTAGTTTGTACATAATATTACATACTTTATCAGGTTTTGAATTAATGATTTTGCACCAAAAATTATGACACAATCAATTGGAAGAGTACCAAGCTCCCCAAATACCATAACACTAGGAGTGGACTTTTTGACATTCATTATGAGTTTAAGATATTTCAACTGAAATTGCTTTACAATATCAATTTTACCTACACCCCACACTTCTACACCATATAACACACCAAACTGGTTACGAATTGGTAAAGGGACGAGTTAACTAAAAAACAACAACAACAAGCAGACAGGTTTTCAATGGTAAAAAGAGGCAAATAATTGCTAGAAACTACAAATAAGATGGGGTTTTTTTTTAAACACGTGGATTTTAACCAATAATTTATACAAAATGCTAAGGTTGAAAAAACTGATCATTTCTTTGTGTTTTAAAATGATTTAAACTGTTATATAAGAGTTGCATATATTCCGTCTATATCCGATATTTCGGATAAACCTGTAGTATCAGTGGTCCTGTTCCGACTGTTTTAATGTCATTTTACTAGAAAACTGGCAATGCATAAGAAACTGAGCTACCATTAGATGGTAAGACACAAATTACATAATATGACAACATCAAAAAAAAAATCAACAGTCACAGGCGCTAGACACAGACGCTTGGAGTTATGTGCGTGGCTCCCCTCCTTGATCCGCACTTGTATACACCTTGTGTATTTTTATCATGCAAACCGTACGTCCAAATATTTTTGCATATTATTACGACCTGGTCACATGTCTTGAACATAAAACTTGTTTTCCGCTATTTTAACAACGTTTAAAAAAGTCCCTAAAATATCATAATTTCATGAAGATAACAACGTACGCTTTCCTTTGATGTGAGACGACTGGAATGAGTTTCGGCACTGTTTTGCGCTTTCATTTTCATGCCGAGAACCAAAACCCCGCAGCGGTTACTTCCCCTAATCAGTACAGAAACCAAATCAAGAAGACTGACGGAAAGGGCCCGAGTAGTTGCGATTGAATTTCTTTTTCCCAGCGATTTTCCCGCTGTAATTTACGGGAAACATTCCAGTCGTCATGAATTCGGAAAGAAGCATGTGACACGGTTAGGAAAATGTAATTTAAAGTGCAAAGCTTGGAAGAAAGGTACAATCTGAAAATAACATGCATTCATTTATTAAAGGAATATATGCATAGACTGATTTACACCAGAAATAAATGGCATGCGATAACATAAATACCTGAAATATATGTAGGTCAGTTGTGTTTACATTTCGAAGCTTGGTATCTTCAGGAAATTGAAGCGTTGGTAAAAAATTGACTTTTTTAATATGATTTGAAATTCGGTTGAAACTTGTTCATGTGTTAGACACTTAACCGTCTCATACTAATATAAGCAAAAATTTAAAACTTGTTCTTGTAATAGATAATACTTTTACTTTTTTATATTCAGAGGCGGAGAAGGGCGGGGTCTATACTCCAAGTGTCTGTGGCGCTAGACACATAATCAAATATTTTACATAACCAGTCTATATATGTATATAAAGATATCTTATTATAGTATATAGCCTATATAAAACTTTAAAAAGTTTGTTTCAAGCACCTGCTGTCAAATTGTGACTGTTGATTTTTTTTGTTGATATAATGTCAAATGTCAAATATTTCATTTAAAACTGCATTGAAGAAACTGGAACTGGTCCTGTACGGGATTGGTTGCTTGACTGTATTCAAGACAATTTTTTTATATTTCTCAGGGTTCCTTGCGGTTCAGTTTTAGCTTGCGCCACCAATTTCCCAATCAGAAAAAGTTGGAGACAGTGGCTCCTAATTTGAAGCCAATATCGAAATGGAGACATGCCTATCTTTATTAAGATATGCTAGAAATTATATATCATTCAGATAAGAAACACATAATTATAATAATTTTTGTTTAATTACAGCTGTTTAGTATTATGTAAAATAGGCATATAAATATGTTAAATTCAAATTAAATACACAATTGTCATGACAACATAAATGTAATCAAAAACATAATTTTAAGTCAGTAATGAGGTTAGGTCTTGTTTTGCCTACTGTATAGAAATTCTTATCTCTCTTATTCATTCACTCTCACTGACTTGACTGAGGCAAGATCGTCTCAGCTTCCACTGCATTCTGGTGATCTGCAAATACAAAAGAAGAAAACAACTTTTCTATAAATTAACTTCATCATAAAAAATGAAACAGAAACCAAGTACTTTTTAACAATGAAGAATACTGTTTTTTAATAGGTTTTGTGATTGACTCTATAGCAATAAATACATTCCGATAATCATATGAAAATATTAACACTGTTAACAGCAAGCGGTGACTTTAAATCAATCATTAGTGAAATTATTATTTTAATTGTCACCCGATTTAATATTTCAAACTGTAATTATTTTTAGCCAGTTGACTTACATGAAGTTTAATTTCTGGTCAACTTCACGGACGATCTCTCATTCCTCTAATTCGCTACTACATTGTAACAACAGTTGACTACACGTGTAATTAACGATGTAAATTGTTCCATTTAACACATTGACACTTTCATCTCGACATGTTCCCGAAGTGTCACACAGTTCATTGATACTGATAGTATTTGATAAACAAACTATTTGTGCGTGACCTTTCACATCTGGGTGGCTTATGTAATTTACACAGCCACTTATTGACTTTTATGTGTACTACTTGTTGGATATTTTTTATTTTATGCTGACACCAGTAATATTCGACAATTAAAGATTTTTGTGCACCAGAATAAATATATTGTTGCATTTGGCGCCATTGGTGAGCAACAGTGGGAACCCTGAGTATCACTTCATGTAGTATTGCAGACCATGGGTTTCAGAACCATGCTATGAACATTTTGAAGAGTTATTTATGATGTTTTTTGACTGGTTTTTATTGTTTCTGTTAACAGTATGCCAGGAAAAATGAGAATGAGGCATTCTCATGAAGTGGTCCAATCACATTTTTCTTATCTTTACTGTTTTCCTTCTGCGTAGCAGTTTGTTAACTTTTTGGACTATACAGTCCTTGAAGGATGCCTCATGCTTATGTTCAGGAAAGTACTTCAAAACATTGGCGTACCATTGTCCAACAACTTTCTTTCCCTACACAGGTTTTTTTACCTAGTTTTCCACCCCTGTACCAATTGTACTTAAGTTTGTAGTTTGTGATTCCAAAAAGTTCTGACTGTTATGTACTTCACTGTCACTCACAGCATAGTCTGACGTTATCACATGCTCAACTTCTTGGGATTAACTTTGGCATGGAGCACAAGCATCACTATCCTTCGGAATTTCATTCACCCTTACTGACATTGAGTCCACTTTGTTTGAAAGTTGATGGAAGGCTGTACTGAACTTACTTAGCAAAGACTGTCTCTCAATACTCTGGAGTAACATCCTACTGTCTTTAATAAGCTGAGAAATTTGGTTCACATGGACATTCACTGTAGATAGAAGCTGATGGAGGCTGCTTATACAACTCTGGCAGAAAGCGTTCAGTGTAAACAGTGAAAAAGGCTTTGGTGAAATCACAACGGGCTTGGTTGGCATAGACACTTTTTCATGGCAGAAAGGGCGAGATGACAATATTTGAAGGAGGCTTTGATGAAATCACAACGGGCTTGGTTGGCATAGAAATTTTTTCAGGCTGTCTATTTGGAGAAACATTGATGGTATTCTCTTTTAGTGAAGGCACTCTCGGGATACTAATATCTCTTTTTTGACATCCCCCTGTAGAAGTGGCCTGAAATGAATTATTCTTTTTAATTACTGCTTATACAAAATGGCAATTTTCATTTTTTAAATGCATTTCAAGTTACGCTGCAATCTGCCTATAAGTTTTCTGAAAAAGGACTATTGTTGTAGTATACTAAGTCACTTTGTTCTTTCTGAATTCTCCCACTCAAACCATTTTCCATTTGTGTATAATGGGCAACTAACCATTGGAAATTGTATGCCGTAAAACTAAACCAAAAATGAAATCAAAAAGGTTATTTTTAAGATCTTCATATGACAAATGTTTTATCTGGCTACTTTGCTATTTAATATTTATGCATATCAATATTAATCAAAAGTCCTATGCTTTTGCGACTGTAAAAATGGTATTGCACGGCCGTGCAAGTAATTTGATGTGTTAAATAGTACTATACTATAGGTGCGTCAGGATCTAAAAATAGAAAAATCTTGTTAACACTCTAGTGGCTGCAGTTTTGATCCAAATATTCTGAAAATTGGTCAGGAAAATTGTTTTGATGATTTCTGGGATCAAGCATTGAGAATAGTTAAGCTAGCTGTCCTACCTTCTAATTTATTTAATTAGCTAAACAGGTCATAATGAAGCAAAATGTGTGTAAAATGCATTAATAATTAGTAATGACTTGTTTTTAACTTTTAATATGTTGCAATAAAGACCTTTTGGTCAGTTTTATCAAATAAAATATTTATCAATCTCTACCTTAGAAATATGGTAGTCCCAGCAGCATTGATTCAAGGAGCCAGTAGAGGACTTGGTCTCCAGTTTTGTAAAACTCTGTTGTCAAGGCAACCAGGACTGAATGTAATAGCAACATGTAGGTCACCAGTACAAGCTGAGGAATTACAGAAACTGAAGTCGGAGCCGTCTACTGGTGGCCGGCTTCACATACTGGGAGTGGATGTTAAAAATGAATCTCAGATAGAGGTATTCTCTTGCTTTCTTATTTTATACATGTATTACTGTATTAGTGGTTAAGGTAGCGACACGGAAATATTGGCAAATTTTGCAAATTGACAGAAATTGCTAGAATATCCTCTAGCATGTAAATAAACCAAAATGTCATTAAATTCTACCCTTGCACAATTTGCTTTTATTTCCTCTGCAAAATATCTTGATCTTTTCGACATGCGTAAATATCGACACACGGAAATATCCACTTCTACAGTATATATAAGTTAAAAACAAATCACTGTCAATATCTTGGCAGTTTTATTGTTTAAATTTGTGTTATGTTTAATGTTCAAGAAGTTATTTGTATTGAGTGGCAACTAAAAATAAATGTTCATCACACAGTCATTTGACCTATTCCAAATTTAGGTACAGTTTTACTGGCACTTTCCTTTTGATATATTATTCATAGATCCTTTTTTGAAACATTTGATTATTACATGTTAATGATAATTATTTCTTTCATTATTTGTCAGTGCCACAGCTGTTTAATTCGAAATTTAGAATTTCTTTTACTGGCACTTTCCTTTTGGTTTTCCATTCATGGACCCTTTTTGATATCTTTATATTATTGTAAGTTAATAATGGGAATGTTATCTATATATATATTATTCTTGAACTAAAGGTATACATACTTGTATACATACTTTAAACCTTAACTGCACCAGAGGTCTCCACCCATTAGTAAAGTTAAAGTTGGACGGTCACCATATGACATAGATAGTGTTGGTGCAACAACCCCACTTCCCCACCCCCATCAAAAGAAAAAAAAGAAATGTTTACATTGGCATGCACTTAAACTGATATTTTATCAATCATTATTTATTAAGGAAAGTTTTGCAGGGAGTAAATGATTTAAAAATTATTTTATCATTATTATTATTATTATTATTTCATAATGGAAAGTGTTAGAATTACAGTTGATCCTTTGAAAACATGATAAATTATTTGATACTGTGAAATGAGTCGCGTCACAACAAAACCAACATAGTGGGTTTGCGACCAGCATGGATCCAGACCAGCCTGCGCATCTGGGCAGTCTGATCAGGATCCATGCTGTTCGCTTACCAACCTTATAACAAGTAGAGAAACTGATAGCTAAAAACATGGATCCTGATCAGACTGCGCGGATGCGCAGGCTGGTCTGGATCCATGCTGGTCGCAAACCCATTATGTTGGTTTTGTCATGACGCGACTCAAATGGCATTACAGGAAGCTGCAGGAAATGTAGAGAAACAGTTTGGACAGTTGGACCTGTTAGTGAATTGTGCCGCAATCTTACATCCAACAGGACGTGGGGAAACAAGCTTAAAAGATGTTAACTTGCAGGTACAAAAACAACATAATATATATTATAAATATGTAGTTGCTATGGTAATAAATATTTCGTTTGGTATTATAGATATAAAAAAAAATTAAGTAAAAAAAGAGTTCAAGGGATATTTGGGGATGTAAGTTATTAATATTTATTTAAGAATTAAGCATGGATTGAGGCATAAATATTATTGGATTAAAGAGTTTTCACTGTTACTTGCTGAATTTCCTGAATATACTTGCCCATCCAACATTCATTTTGAAACTGGTCCATTATCAATATAAGGCTGATATAAAGCAGAAAATAAAAAAGTTTTGTCAGCTTACAGTATAGTTCCTCGTTATTAACTTCAAACTTTGGACTAAAGTCTTTATTACAAGTTATAAAAAAAATTGTGTGATGTTTATGCAAACAATGCCAGATCAATCTGAGTGTCTTTCATTTAGCTAACACTTTTATAATTCAAGACTGTCAAATATTTGTTCATGGTTATAAACAGAATACCAGGACTTTAAACCCATAATAAACATCTTTTGCTTTAAACTTTATAAACATACCTATATGTATTTTGTAACTCAGATGGGTCTGAATTTTGAACTATGTGTGGGATTTTACTCAAGACCATTGGCTTAGAACCTCATGTTTAACACCACTGATGCATCAAAAGGATTTATTGTGGTAGTTGTCAAATGAGTTTTTTATAGAAACTGAGAATCTTACGCACTCATGTGATGGAGATATTTATAATAACTGAAAATTTTGTGCACTCATGTGATGGGTTATTTATAGTAACTGAGATTCTTGTACACTCATGTGATGGAGTTATTTATAGTAACTGAGATTCTTGTGCACTCATGTGATGGGTTATTTATAGTAACTGAGATTATTGTGCACTCATGTGATGGAGTTATTTATAGTAACTGAGATTCTTGTGCACTCATGTGATGGAGTTATTTATAGTAACTGAGATTCTTGTGCACTCATGTGATGAATGTATTTTTATAGGGACTACAAGAAACTTGCATAACAAATGCGTTTGGTCCATTGTTAATGGGAAAACATTTTGGAAAGTTATTAACAAAAGGAGGTGGCAGTATAGGAGTGCAGTCAAACGATGCTAAACCAAACCATTCTGGTGTTTTGGTGAATATATCTGCTAAAGTTGGCTCAATTACTGATAATGGTAAGTATAATAGCTAAGTATGTCTCAAGAAATGATCCATAAATTTCTGCTAAAATTGGCTCGGTAACTGATACTGGTAAGTAAATGTTTACTAAAGGTGTCTATTTTAAAATTGATTATTTGATTTCTGAAAATGAGAGTTATTGCATGTTGAAGTTGGTTGAGTTGCTGACAATGAGAAGTGATTGTTAAAATTGGCCTAGCTATGGTGAAAGTTAACCTAGCGTATGGTAAATACATGTAAATTTCTGCTAATTTTGGCTTAAGTACTGATGTCAGTGTTATTATATCTGTTAGAATTAACTCTATTACTGATGTCAATGGTAAGTTATTGCCTTCTAATATTAGCTGAATAACAGAAGATAGTAGGATAACATTCACAAACATTGGCTTGATGAGTGAAAATGTAAAGGTATTTTATGCTAAATTTGGTTAAAACAGAAAATATTAATTTTGAATGCCTGCAAATGTTTGTTTAGCCAGTAAAATAAAGGTTTCTGTAAGTTTGTGAAAATGATTAGTTCTTGTCTCCTTGAATATTTACTGATAATGATAAAGTTGGTTCATTAACCGATGTAATCAGTCACAGACAAGTAACATTTTTTGGAAACTGTAACATGAAACCAAAAATAAAAAAGCTTCTGAGAAATATATATACATGTAATTGCATTTTTGAGGTTGAATAAGCCTTAAACCATTTAAACTTTATTTTTTCAGCTCTAGGAGGCTGGTACAGTTATAGAATGTCAAAGGCAGCTTTAAACATGGCCACTAAGAATCTCAGTATAGAATTGGGGCGTGGCAAAAGCAAGGTCATATGTGTTTCTCTTCATCCAGGGACAGTAGATACGGCACTTTCTCGACCGTACCATAAAAACGTGAAGAATTTGTTTACTACAGAACATAGTGTTTCAAAATTGTTAACTGTTATAGACAGTTTGACTGTTTTAGATAGCGGGAAATTTTTCACATACGATAGAGAGTTATTACCATTTTGAAGTATTTAGAACTTTATGAATTTAATATTGATTCTACATCGTGAAAATATAATTACCATCTGAGATTTCATTTTGAAATATTTGAATAACAATTGTGCTATGTCACTTAAATAGATGACAATTGGTTTAGCATGAATTTTCATTATGTTACCTTAAAAGAGTACCACATGACTTTTACAGAAAAAAAATGCAATCAAGTATTAAAGGAACTCCACTGAATTTCATAAAATTTGATTTTCTTACATAGATCAACTGGGATACTAAAACAGAAAATATGCAAAAGATAAAAAAGAAATATACTCGGAAATAAATTGAAAATCATATTTTCATGCTCTTCATTTTTGAGTTTAAATTATTATTAAAAAAAAGAAGCAAATTATCTGAAATTTTGCGTGACACAAGTAATTGGTTTATACCTTCATCAAATGAAACATTAATCTCATAAAATTATTTCCAGTCCCATATCAAAAGAACCTCAGTGGAGTCCCTTTAAGAAAATTAAGAGCGTGATGCATCCTGCCTAGTTACCTACATAATATTTTTGAACACATCCTCCTGCACATGAGTCTTGTGATAATGTGATATGTTAATAGAAGTTATTATATAAAAGCAAGTGTAAACAGTATTTGTATGAAAACTTAATTGTTTTGAGTAATGAAATGTTTAAGTGTACATGATTGAGTAAATTAACTTACGTTAATAAGACAGTCAATTACTTTCCATAGGAATTACCTATGACTTGTAAAATATGCAGAAATTTAACTCACTGTGTTAGTTATTGGATAGAATTTTTGTGATTTAAATAGTAAATTTAGTAATACAGTAAAACATTTGAACCTTGATAACCAATAGGGGGACTGAACATGACCTTTATAGACAAGTGGTTTTTATTTGGAGTTTACTCTGCTCTGTTTAATCAATGAGAGTGGGGGCTAAATGACCTTTATTTACAGAATGGTCTTTCTTTGGAGGTGGTGTTTAACACAGGATTTACTGTATTTTTAATTTTTGCAAACTACATTTCAGCCGCGTCATGACAAAACCAACATAGTGCGTTTGTGACCAGCATGGATCCGCGCAGTCTGATCAGGATATCAACCCTATTACAAGTAGAGAAACTGATAGCGAACAGCATGGATCCTGATCAGACTGCGCGGATAGCCAGGCTGGTCTGGATCAATGCTGGTGGCAAACGCACTACTTGTTTGTTGGTTTTGTCGTGATGTGGCTCATTTGTACACTGACTTTATCTCTAAGTTTCGAAACTTTGAATTATTTTATATGTTTTGTACTTATACTGAAAACAAGATCAGGAATTTTTTTATTGAAAATATTACAGGCTTATCAATATAGTAAGCCTTATTGTATTTACTTTCATTGGTATGTGTTCATGTAGTTATTTATATTTATGTAAAGTTTTTAACCTGTTGTAGAAATAGTGGAAAGATATGACTGAAAATTTTGAACCAAATATTTAAGAAAATTTTGTGGCACACATGTTTTGTGCCACATAATGAATGGGCTGTCGTTGCATAACAATATACTGGTATATTGTTTCACCAATAAATTTTATACACCACCAGTTGAAATGTCTGGGGTTTTTTTATGATTATTTTATGGAATTTATCTGCTTTACCCTATTTGATATGGTATTTGACAATTCAGGGAATTTACTTATATCATTTAAATATCTATTTAGATAATTATATTTCTTATACATGTTGTTTGTTATTTTTTTCACTGTGTTAATTGTTTTGCAGATTTGCATTAAAAACGTTGAAATAATTAAATATTATGGTAGTTATTGTTTTTTGTTTTTTTTTTTACTTTTATTTGATTTTAAAGCAGCATGCCTCCAGATTTATGCTTATTTTCATGAAAATTTTGAAAATTTATTTAAGAGTAAAATATTGTGAAGTGAACCAATAAAGTAATTTTCATATTACAAACCGCACTTGCAGTTCATTTAAATCACCAAAAGAGGTCAAAATATGCAGAAATAGCCCTTACTCCAATAGTCACTCGGTAGAAACATGAGGAGTAATGCTAAAGCAGTCCTTAAACAAACAGCCCGTAAATCATTACCTGAATAAGGGGCGTCTGTGGCCGAGTGGTTATAAGGTCGTTGACTTCAAACCACTTGCCCCACACCGCTGTTGGATCGAATGGGACTTTAGATTCTTTCATGTGAGAAGCTATCCAGCTAGCTTACGGAACGTCGGTGGTTCTACTCAGGTGCCCCTTTATGTCTGAAATAATGCACGGAAGGGCACCTGAGGTCTTCCTCCACCAGTAAAGCTGGAACGTCGCCATATGACCTATACTGTGTCAATGTGACGTAAAACCAAAACAAACAAACAAAAAACAAAACCTTAATATTGACTCTTTTTACTTAATTTAAAATCCTAGTACATTTTTTTCAAGTTTGATTTTCTTGAAATATTTTTGCTCATCTGGAGACATGCAGCTTTAAATCTTAAAAAAAAAGTTTTAAGTCTGAAGATTTGAGCCTGCTGTTCTGAAGTTGTATTTGCATGTATAATGTTTTACCATAAAGAGATATGATTTATGCATGAAAACATTTTAAAAATTAATGAAGCTATGATGAATTGTGTGTGGTGCCATGTCAAATAATCGTGTCCACTCGAAGGACTTGAGTTGCTGGTGCGCCGTAAAACAAACAAAACAAACTATGGCAGTCATTTTATTCGCTATAATAGCCGTATCACATACATCGTATATCTTTCAATTCATGCATCACATATCTACATATGAATATTTTGGAACTTTTGACTGAGGACTTTATCTTTTTACAAACATGTACGCCTGCCACTTTCCCAACTCCATAAAAACGGCATTGCACAGATCTGACTTGACTGACGTCATATGCGTTAAATTTATTTAACTGTTGAATAATCTGCTGCAATGGGTTTGCATGATAAGATTTTAATCATGAGTATCGTTCAATAAATTTATTATGGAATTAAGGTATTTGGTCCCTAATTGGAAAGTTAAGTGTTTTTTTTCAAAGGTGAGAGCTCTATAAAATTTGATTGAGAATTATGAATTGTATATATATACTATTGCAACAACAGCTTCCAGTACTAGTAGTTAAATTTAATAACGATCTACCCGCCATGGTCTTGCGTAATATGAATTTAGGATAAAGTGAGTCACTATCCTTTTTGAGTTATCTGCCGTTGAAAGTAAATGTTTTGGCTCTTTTTCCATCAATTTGTTTTGCTCATGTTTCTCATTCTCTTGAATCGTGCAATTTTTAAGAAAATTTTCAAAGCTAGTTTGAATTTTATGTTTTTACCTTTGAATAAAAAATTTATAGAGACCTATTATATTAATATCCTCTATATATTGACATGATATATAAATAGACACGAGTAAACGTACTTTTTCGACGTCACGACGTCAACACCGGCTTTTGTATTATGACGTCATGATTTAGTGTGCTGTTGCGGGGCAGTTGTCACGTTTACTATACTATGTCTTAATCTATATGATAATGGGAAGATGCCAGACTCAATTTTGCGTTGTTTTCCATGTTTCGGGAAGGAAGAAATAAGATGGAAGTTACCAGAGGGTCGAATAATCTTAGGTTACGATGTTATACATATAGAAGTACCGGAGAATGAAAAGAATATATTTGAAGAAAAAAGACCCACGGGCAAGGACCTGAGTTTAAGTGAGTATATGGTTTTATACAACTATGTTACAGAAGATTTGTTACCGCAACCTCTCTACGACTGTGAATACGAATGCTACTTCTTTCTTAATGGCGACCGCTATGTCGTGATCCAGGGTTGGGTACCTAAGAGGAGGTATCCTTGGTTGCGCTCCCCGCTACCCTGGATACCAAAACAGAACATAAGTTTGATCGGTAAATTCCAAGAACCGAAGTCGTTTGGACGAGCAACGAGATATGAGGTGAAAGAATACCAAGAACCGAACTGGGACAACTTTGATAAGAGATCTCACACCATCAGCAGACGAAAAAGTAATGGGTTTTCCGATGTTTTCTTTTAAGTCTACGCGCTATCTCTCGACGGCTCCTTTGAAAAGGGACCCCTTATAGCACTTTGAAATGATCTGAAATCTATATATATAAACTAAAATGAAATGACATGAAAGTTGAAGTATGTTACCTTAGAACGCATTACAAATCTTCAACTTATTTCATGCATATATTTCTAAAAATAAATTGCAAAAAAATGTCCTAAAACTAAGATACTTATTTTTATAATTTGATTAAGTGACAATGTATTTTTTATGATAAAGTAAAGTTATTGCATAAGAGAGAAATAGCAGTGTTAGAATAAATAGAGGATATTCAAGTTTTTTCTATAAATACATGATTTATTTTCATCGAGTGGTATGAAAATAAATATTTCATGAGTGGCGGTAGCCACGAGTGAAATATGGTAATTTTCATGCCACAAGATGAAAATCAATCATGTATTTATAGAAAAAACTTGAATTTTCTGTTTATTATATACATTTTTCCCTTTCTGGACATTAAAATTTGCAAGACTTTCCCTTTAATTTTGAGTACTAGCAGAATTTAAAAGAAATTAGTCCGGCAAGACACCAGTGAAAATACGGAAAATATGTTTCACTGCAGTGAAAAATAAATTTTTACAGTGAATATACGGAAAATGAAAATACGCATTTTATTTCATCAATATTTCTCAATATTTCATTTAAAAGTATATAATAAAGTAAAATCTCAGTTTTGTTTTTTGTTGCAAATGAACCTAGATAAGATAAATTCCGTCCAGTAATTATGATGTCCTGCTTGTAACGTCACTCTGACGTTTATATATCTTATATGCACGGCTGTCGTCAATTTATGAAGAAATTTCTCTAAAAAAAGGAAGTTTGCTGTATTGTAATTTCGTTAATATAAAGATTTTTGGTTCGTCATTTCGCCGTATATAAACGGTTGTTTGAAATATAACCTTTATGTAGGTCCGTTCTTATTGGTTATTTGAAGATATACTATGCTCAAATTTATTATTTGAAATCAATATTGTTATAGCTACACAGTCTCTTTGTTAGTAAAAGATAAACGTGCCTTGCCTTCACAAAAAGAAGATATGTTGTTATAAATCACTATAGTTGATGTAAATATATACATAGTGTCATTTTTGGTCTGTAACAAGGAACATAATTGAGCCGCGTCATGACAAAACCAGCATAATGGGTTTGCTACCAGCATGGATCCAGACCAGCCTGCGCATCCGCGTAGTCTGATGAGGATCCATGCTGTTCGCTATCAGTTTCACTACTTGTTATAGGGTTTGTAAGCGAATAGCATGGATCCTGATTAGACTACGCGGATGCGCAGGCTGGTCTGGATCCATGCTGTCGAAAACTCATTATGTTGGTTTTGTCGTGACGCGGCTCATATTTAGAGAAATTCATAAAAATATTTTACTCAAGGGAGATTTTATTTATTTGTGTTTTTCCTTTTATTGTTTGAGTTTGCTGTTGCATTAAACATTTTTGTTCCGTTTAATGTTTATATATTTTTTGTTATTTTGCTGTTCTGTTAAGTCCTTCTTATATTTTCAGTTGGTGTCTGTCCGTTAGTTCTTCTGTTATCGGTCCTCATTTTCTGTTCTATTGTTCTGTTTTATGTGTATTGTTTTATTTTATTTTCTGTTTTTCTGTCTGTATCGTTAATGTCATTGTGTGTTTTGTCGTTTCTTGTTTACTGTTTGTTCTATTATTGTCTGTTCCATTAAGTTAGGTCCGTTAAGACTTTGGTATCTTTATTATATGTTAAACTAAGGCTCTTTACATCCCTTTTACATAAATCCGTCTTTGTCATTCTTATAGTGGAGTAGCGGGTTATCAAAAATTCCGTCCACTTAATTTGTAGGCAGACAAGTATGTGTCTTTTCCTTTATATGTCTTGTTGTCTATATTGTTATGTCTCTTATTGTGTTTTCCATTGTAGTATTCCGCTTTGTTTTATGTGCTAGCTTTTTCTTGTCTGCTTACAGTATTTTGTTGTTGTCTGTTCAATTCCGTAAGTTGTCTTGTCATGTTTACTATGTTTTCCGTTGCGCTATTCAGTGTCCTGTAGACTATTCCGTAGTGGACTGTTGTATAGTCCGTTAAGTGTTAACTTATTCCGTTGGTGCGTATACTGTTAGTTCTTCTATTTTCGGTCCACCTTTCCTGTTCTGCTTAGTGTTTCTTTTGTCTGTATCTTTGATGTCCTTGTGTCTTTAAATCATTTTTTGTCTGTTCTGTTTCGTGTCTCATCGTCTGTTACATTGAGTGGTTTGTAGAATGCTTCGTTGATTATATGTTGTTTTCTGTGATGTCCCTTTTTGTATGCTTTTTGCTGTCTGTTCCGTTATGTCTCTTTTCCTCCCTCTTTTCCGTTAGATCCTTTGATCTGTATATTTTAACTGTTTAGTCTGTGTTTGTATGTTCTATTCGTTTAGTCTCTGGAGTTCTTTGTTCTGGTTTTGTTAGTCTCGAAGTCATTTCATTCTTTTAGTGGAGTAGCGGGGGATCGAACTCACGACCCCTTGATTGGTAGGCAGACAGTGTTACCACTGTACCAAAGCGCCCGCTCTGAATAATAACTGTTTTTGAAAGTCCTATATACATTATTACTACAACGGCTAATAAAAATGTATTGCAATTAAATTTTAACACCTGTACTTAGGTAGTCAACCTACGTGACTT